ACCCTGAAAAGGGTTCTAATCCCTCTCCACTGTATCCAAACTAAAAAAAAAAAACTAAAAAAAAAAAAAGTTTTGCCTTTAGTTATACTTTCATACACAACCATATCGTGCGCTAGATGTGATGCGACCAGTCCTGCGCTATCATGATGCCGAGCCCCGGTGCCAAAAACCACTGACATGAACATCTGAGATTCTGGTGAAGACTGGACAGTGCTTCAGATGGGCAGGGAAGACCACGCTATGTGGACGCTCTGCGGGGTCCACGATAACCCATGGCATCTACCACGTCTGTGGGTAGGCCGCCAGTTCTGCGCTCGGCATTGCCTAATAAACCAGCTATGTGTCTCTTATCTATCTGGATGGGGGGACTCTAAATTTCAGCGGTTCCTCTTATCAGCCCGGAGCAGGTCGAGGTATTTACCGGCAGCTCCTCGCAGTCCTGGGTTGGGGAGATTGGGCATCAGCAGAATCAGAAGCGTTTCACGCTCTTAATAGAGCCTCATTTGCAGCCCACAACAAACAAAATCTTTATCTCCTCTTCTCTCTCCATTACCGACAAACAAAGGCCGCCATGTCGCCATTCAAGCGAAGAGGCGTCTGTAAAAATGCGTATCTTTCAGCAGCGAACACTAAACGGCAGGTGCAGCTCTCGCATCCGCCAGGGAAATTACTGATGGCAGATAGGAAAGGGGATTGTTCGCTTCTCTCCTGTAAATGCCGCTGAGTGCGCTGCAGATAAAGGAGACAAAAGAGAGGCGATTTAAGGTTTGCATCGCTGGGTAAAAGGAAAAAAAAAAAGATGCAATTCCTAAATTTTTGGATGGCACAAAAATAAACCCTTTGCAGGATTTCCAGGCAAATTGCAGATTGCAAAACGTAAAGAAAAACTGAATTAAGTCTGTACAGATTAGGTGAAAAGGTGATAAACTGTCTTTACAGGGACTATAGAGTTGTTTTATTTTATATAACCCAAAACTGCTGCAATTTTAAAAACCTTTCTGCAATTATTTTAATTTCTTTTTAAATAAACCATTTGTGCTCTGCAACCTTTTGACTTGTTCTCCCTTCTCTCTCCTCTCTCTTCTTTCCTTTCTCTCTCTTTTCTCCCTCCTCCCTTTTCTCCCTTCTCCCTCTTCTCCCTTCTCCCTCTTCTCCCTGCTCTCTATTCTCTCTTTTCTCTACCTTTGCTCTTCTCCCTTCTCTTTCGTCTTCCTTTCTCTCTCTTCTCCCTCTTCTCCCTCTTCTCCCTCTTCTCTCTCTTCTTCTCTTCTCCCTTCTCACTCTTCTCTTGCTTCTTCCTTCTCTCTTCTCTCCCTTTTTGTCTTCTCCCTTCTCTCTCTTCTCCCTTCTCTTTCTCTTCTCCCTTCTCTTTCTCTTCTCCCTGTTCTTTCTCTTTCTCTTCTTCTTTCTCTTCTTCTTTCTCTTCTCCCTGCTCTTTCTCTTCTCCCTGCTCTTTCTCTTCTCCTTTCTCTTTCTCTTCTCCTTTCTCTTCTCCTTTCTCTTTCTCTTCTCCCTGCTCTTTCTCTTCTCCCTTCTCTTTCTCTTCTCCCTTCTCTTCTCTCTTCTCCCTTCTCTTTTCTCTTCTCCCTTCTCTTCTCTCTTCTTCTCCCTTCTCTTCTCTCTTCTCCCTTCTCTTCTCTCTTCTCCCTTCTCTTCTCTCTTCTCCCTTCTGCCTTCTCTTCTCCCTTCTGCCTTCTCTTCTCCCTTCTGCCTTCTCTTCTCCCTTTGCTCTCCTTTCCCTTTGCTCTCCTTTCCCTTTGCTCTCTTCTCCCTTTCTGTTTCTCTTCTCCCTTTCTGTTTCTCTTCTCCCTTTCTGTTTCTCTTCTCCCTTCTTCTCTTTCTTCTTCTTCTTTATCTTTCTCTTCTCCCTTGTTTTTCTCTTCTCCCTCTTCTCTCCCTTTGCTCTCCTTTCCCTTTGCTTTCTTCTCCCTTCTCTTTCTCTTCTCCCTTGTTTTTCTCTTCTCCTTTCCCTTTCTCTTCTCCTTTTCTCTTTCTCTTCTCCTTTTCTCTTTCTCTTCTCCCTTCTCAATTTTCTCTCATCTCCTTTCTGTCTTTTCTTTCTTCTCTCTCTTCTTTCTTCTCTCTCTTCTTTCTTCTCTCTCTCTCTTCTTTCTTCTCCCTCTTCTTTCTTCTCCCTCTTCTTTCTTCTCCCTCTTCTTTCTTCTCCCTCTTCTTCCTTCTCCCTCTTCTTCTTCCTTCTCCTCTCTTCTTCCTTCTCCTTCTTCTTCCTTCTCCCTCTTCTCTCTTTCTTTTCTTTCTTCTCCCTTTTTCTTCTTTCTTCCTCCTCTCTCTTCTCCTTACTTCCTCCTCTCTCTCTCTCTCTCCACTTCCTCCTCTCTCTTCTCTCCACTTCCTCCTCTCCCTTCTCTCCACTTCCTCCTCTCCCTTCTTCTTCTTCTCCCTTGTCCCTCTCCTCTTTCTCTTCCTTTCCTCTCAGTCCCCACTGCCTCTTCTTTTATGCACTCCTGCCTGTGGCTGCATCTGTGACACCATCTTGAACTATGCAGCACTATCAGTGCTGCATTGTAAGTGAGGTCACCGAGAACTCAACCTCAAGTTGGAGCTCCACAAAGTGTGTGCAGAAAGGACACAAAGGGACAAGGTAAGGTACCCCAGCCAAAAAACAGCATTTCGCTTTTGCGGTGCATGCCGGGAATCCACTACTGGGGTTCTTCTTCTTTTTGTAATTTAACTTCAAAAATCCACTCAATGCCAAAATAAACACATCACTTAGGAGTCCATATGGGAGGGGCAGAGACACAAACTAGTGCAGGGAAATCTCACCATTGTGGGAGGGGCAGAGACACAAACTACAGGGGGGAAATCTCACCATTGTGGGAGGGGCAAATACACAAATTACTACTGGGGGGAAGTCTCACCATTGTGGGAGGGGCAAATACACAAATTACTACTGGGGGAAGTCTCACCATTGTGGGAGGGGCAAATACACAAATTACTACTGGGGGGAAGTCTCACCATTGTGGGAGGGGCAAATACACAAATTACTACTGGGGGGGGGAATCTCACCATTGTGGGAGGGGCAAATACACAAATTACTACTGGGGGGAAGTCTCACCATTGTGCGAGGGGCAAATACACAAATTACTACTGGGGGGGAAATCTCACCATTGTGGGAGGGGCAGAGACACTACTGCAGGAAATCTCACCATTGTGGGAGGGGCAGAGACACTACTGCAGGAAATCTCACCATTGTGGGAGGGGCAGAGTTACAAACTACTGGGGGGAAATCTCACCATTGTTGGAGGGGCAGAGACACTACTGCAGGAAATCTCACCATTGTGGGAGGGGCAGTTACAAACTACTGGGGGGAAATCTCACCATTGTGGGAGAGGCAGAGACACAAACTAATGTGGGAAATTTCTCCATTGTGGGAGGGGCAGAGACAAACTACTGCAGGAAATCAGATTTGTGATCCTTGTTAATGCCATCTTCTTACTGTACTCTGCCCACCATCTGAAATTCCAGCTTAGGCTGACAGTAGGAATACCTGACGTTGGAGGACAGAAGTGGAGGATGGATCCACTGATCTTCTTTTTCTCTGTGTGGTTTGTACTGCATTTTATATTTTGTGCCTTGCTGAAGACAGAAGAGAGAGAGACAACCACTGGTCCTACTCCTTTCCCCATACTACAGACCTAACAGTCTCATGTTTCAGGCCCTGGGGCTGTGTATGATTGAGATGAGGAAATCATATAGAGTGTATAAATATTTCAGCAGTCCAGCTTTGCACACTCCAAAGAAATATTTTTGGCTGGACAGTGCAATCTGATTGTCTCTTTCAGGTGGCTCTGGCTTTCTGCATCGCTTCGAATGGAAATGTCCGTTTGAATTGGAGACATTCTGTCAGTTTTGCCATCTCTGTGTTTGATGTCATTGTCGGTATCTGTCATTTCCATCCTGAGCATTCTTCCTGCCGACTTCAAAGAAGTCAGAATTCCTGACTGAGCATATTTGTCTAACCAGTGCTCCTTTCCACAGGGAGAGATCTGGATGAGCATAATATGACATGAGAACGCATTGCCCGCACCTTCGACACTAATGCCGGCCCAACGCACAGACTGAGGATCTGACTACACAGAGGGCCAAATCCTCCCAATTGTTTTATTTGACAAAATGGGGAGAAAGCTGGAGAGTGCAAAATCAGACTCCCTTCTGCATAGAAACCAATCAGCTTCCAGGTTTCATTGCCAAAGCTTCATTGAACAAGCTGAGGTTAGAAGCTGATTGGTTTCTATGCAGAAGGGAGTCTGATTTTGGACTCTCTCCAGCTTTAGTAAATAAACCCCAATGTGTCATTTTGTTCAGCCAGCCTTGTGATCCAGAACCCCCTGCCAGACAGCACAGCCAGTTGGGACACTTCCCTCCATAGTTAAAGCTGAAGTTTAATCTGCTTATGTTTTGCCTTCCCTGGTTCTTCCCTCCCCCCTCATTAACATGCTAATGAAAACCTTAAAGTGTTACTAAACCCACAACAGTAAAATCAGTCTGTATATGCAGGAAAGCATGATTGTTATACTAACTGTGGAACCTAAGGGGTTAATCCTCTGCATTGTGTAAAAAAGCTGTTTTATCCTGTCTCTGATCCTCCCCCTCTTCCAGTGTCCCTCTCTTATCTCCTGGTAAGACATATTGTGTGGAGTCACTCTGCACTTGCTCAGTTTGGTGTCTATTGCTTGAGAGGATTTTGGTTTTTTTTTATAGGGGAGTGCATGGGATCAGCACAGGGCCAATCAGCACTGTACAGACAGAGGTCAGGGGTTCTGCATCCCCCTAGAGCAGAATGAAAACTCCTCCTACAAGCTTTAACCAGTGCTCTGCTGGAAACTGATATAAGTCACAAGATTGCTCTAACTGCTGATGAGAAAAGGTATTTAGCAGTTTATATTTACTAAAATGATACCATTTCCGTGTACTGTGGGAGACCAGATATAGTGAATGCAGGGTCCTGGGGAGACCAGATATAGTGAATGCAGGGTCCAGGTAGAGCGGATATAGTGAATGCAGGGTCCGGGGAGACCGGATATAGTGAATGCAGGATCTGGGGAGACCAGTTATAGTGAATGCATGGTCCAGGGAGGCCAGATATAGTAAATGCAGGGTCCGGGGAGAGCGGATATAGTGAATGCAGGGTCCGAGGAGAGCGGATATAGTGAATGCAGGGTCCGGGGAGACCAGATATAGTGAGTGCAGGGTCCGGGGATACCAGATATAGTGAATGCAGGGTCCAGGGAGACCAGATATAGTGAATGCAGGGTCCGGGGAGAGCGGATATAGTGAATGCAGAGTCCGGGGAGACCAGATATAATGAATGCAGGGTCCGGGGGGGGACCAGATTTAGTGAATGCAGGGTCCAGGGAGGCCAGATATAGTGAATGCAGGGTCCGGGGAGAGCGGATATAGTGAATGCAAGGTCCAGGGAGAGCAGATATAGTGAATGCAGGGTCCGGGGAGACCAGATATATAGTGAATGCAGGGTCCGGGGAGACCGGATATAGTGAATGCAGGGTCCGAGGAGAGGGTCGGATATAGTGAATGCAGTGAATGCAGGGTCCGAGGAGACCGGATATAGTGAATGCAGGGTCCGGGGAGACCGGATATAGTAAATGCAGGGTCCGGGGAGACCGGATATAGTGAATGCAGGGTCCGAGGAGACCGGATATAGTGAATGCAGGGTCCGGGAGAGCGGATATAGTGATTGCAGGATCTGGGGAGAGCGGATATAGTGAATGCGGAGTCCGGGGAGAGCGGATATAGTGAATGCGGGGTCCGGGGAGAGCCAGATATAGTGAATGCGGGGTCCGGGGAGACCAGATATAGTGAATGCGGGGTCCGGGGAGACCAGATATAGTGAATGCGGGGAGAGCGGATACAGTGAATGCGGGGTCCGAGGTTTAGTCACACTCTAAATAAAACCTATCTATTTTCGTTACAGACCTTTATATTAGACCTGGTGATGTGATCACTCAGTCTATGTTCATCTCTATGCAATGCAGGCAGGTCATGGCTGGTGGGAGGGGCCAGCACGGTGCTGTACATAGCTTCCTGAAAACATCACAGCATCCTGCCTCAGTACTCCTCTCAGTCCTGATGGGTGGCACATGGTAGCAGTTATGTAAATTTTAAAATGCCTTGATGGGTGGATGTTAGTCTGGAGGAGTGGGCATTCCTAGGAAGGCTGTATTTTTATGCAGATCCCACCAGGTAACACCCACATGTGATGCTGAACCTCCCTGTTAAAAGAACTGAAATCCAATGAATGGAAGAGGTGGGCCAGGAACAGTCAGACTGGGGAGGAAAGAGCTAGATGATGATGGGCATCGCTCCAGCCAGGAAATGAGGCGGGCTCTGTCTGATTTATTGCAGCTTCTAGTGTACATTGTGAGAAGCTCACAGTGTGCAGTGAAATCGGAGTAAGCCATTTCAGTCCAGGAGAGGAGCCGGTACAATGGTGCAAGACTGAAGGGGAGGCTGGAGGTCAGATTTAAACAACAGAGTTGGGTCACTGCATGGCCCCCTACTGGACAATGAAGAAACTTCACCACACTGATGACATGAACCTTCTCCTGTCAGCAAGCTCACAGTGTTAAACTTCTTGCACTATGCAATGCAGTAGAGCCTAGATCACAATGCCGACCCTCTTTCCCTGTCCTGTTGTGCATTTCCTCAGTCCCTTCTCCTCTCCCCCAGTGATCAGTCTGCTGCAGGCAGGAGGATGCATTTCCTCAGTCTCTCCTCCCACAGTGATCAGACCCTCCTAGATAGGTGCTAGGTGAGCACTACACTGTGCATTGTAACTTTGCAGCAGGTCACAAGGTGAGAGGCTGATCTTTAATGTAAGAAAAAGGTAAAAGCAGCCTCAGCCCAGCTCCATCCAGGCCACACCGACATGGAAAACAAATATATTTGAAATATATTTTAAAAATATTCTTCCCAAATATATTGACATATATTTGAAATGCTACAATTTTGGTCATATTCAATATATTTCAATAAATATACATATATACTGTACGTTGAAATGCGTTTTTATTACAAAATATATAAAAAATACATTTCAAATATACTGTATGTCTTTAAATATACAAATCTACATTTTTGGAATACATTTACAAATATATTTAAAAATATGTTAAAATGACTTTTTTATAGGTTAACCAAAATCTTAAAAATATATTTAAAAAATATATATAAAAATTATTTTTTTAAAATATATTCTTCAGATTTTTTTTAACATATAAAAAAATTATTTTAACATATATTTGTAAATGCATTCCAAAAATGTAGATTTGTATATTTAAAGACATACAGTATACTTGAAATATATTTTTAAAAATATTCTTCATATATCTTGTAATAAAAATGCATTTTAACATACAGGATAGATAGATACAGGGGCAGACTGACCATTTGGAAACTCGGGCACTGCCCAAGGGCCCGGGGTCAGTAGGAGGCCCCATGAGATGCCCCTGGTACCTTTTTTCATAGGCTTTTTTGAGTTTGGGCAAAGACACAGTGGCCCCATGATCCCCTATTGCCCGGGGGCCCCATGAGTTGTGAGTCTGCCCCTCGATAGCTAGATTTATTTTTTTGAAATATATTTTGAAATATATTGAATATGTCCAAAATTTTAGCATTTCAAATATATGTCAATATATTTGGAAAGAATATTTTTTTTTTATATATTTCAAATATGGATCTCCATGACTAAGCCTCGTAGGTGGGATGAAATGCGTCAGGGGCGCGGCTTGGCCTGGACGGAACTGGGTTGAGTCTGCTTTTATCTTTTGACCATTGAGTATTGCCAATGTTTGGCAATGAGGAGTTTCCCTTTTTCTTACTTTGCATGTACTGAGCTGGCATGAATGTTTCCCTAGCCGGCACCTACAGTGTGAGTTACTGGGCTTGGATACAGGAACCTGGACTGGCACACTAAGTTTTCAGAGGGGGTTCACAGGGGCTGATCTGTTTCAAACATTTGTGAACACAGCCAAGAACTACACAGGCACCAGAATTTACATCACTGTTTTATCTCTGAGCTGCCATCTCAGCCCAGGAAATAGATGGTGACACTGGATGACGCCTGTATAAAGATGGTGCTGTCCCTTCAGAGAGAAAAGCAGATGAGGGCATTGTCAGGGTGGGTCCTGTGATCTCTGTGAGAGGTAATGAATACCTGGACACTGGCACTGGGTCACACTGACACGTTACTCGGCATGCTGCGCTGAACATAAAAAAAAATATCTCTGATGACAGGTCCACTTTGATGGTAAATCTGTAAACCCGTCTCATCATTATCCAGATATATTGCAAAATCCAGACGCCATAAAAACTGAGACCTGTTCAGAATTTTTGGGGTAATTCTGCGTCTCTGCAGACGAATCGTATCACCGCGGCAGCTGTACTGTTGGTTTTTGAAGATTTGGTGAACGGTAGGAGCGTTGCGGCACAACAAACCCAATGGCAGGTTTCAGCGTCTTGGCGGCGATTTCATCATTTTGTCCTTTCATCTCACACTGGGTATTATTGAGGCTGTCATGCGATGGGCTCCTACGTGCTGCGCTTCCCTCTTCCATCTGCCCTTTAAGAAGCAGCGGGCTAACAGACCGACCCGTAAATAAAATATGAGCGCTGACAGGCGCGGAGGATCAGACGGGCGCAGCGAAAGCTTTACCTTTAGAGTTTCTGTAAATGGTATAAATGTTGGAGATGCAGAATGTTCAGCACATGGAATGGTGGCGTGAGCTTGGGGCCCCGGATTGTTCAGGGCTCATCCACACGAGGGCATTATCGCGAATGTGCGCTTTGCCGCAATGAGGTGCAGAGAAGAATGAAAGGCTCCCCAATGCACCTTCCAACAAATTGCAGCGCATCTAATGTGCGTCGCAGTGGGCAGCCAAAACACAGCACATGCACCAGTTTTCAGCAGCGGAACGCACGTGAGTTGCCATGCATTGCCACCTGCTGCGCCCACACATGCATTTGTTGGAAAGTGCATTGGGGGCCATTCAGGCACCACATCACACCAATGTATTCAACATGTGTTTGTGCCATCTGCTGGCCAAAATAGGGCCACTGCAGCCTAGGCCCTCTATGGGACAACAGGCGTCATCTGTGTTCATTGGACTGTGCAGACTTCTATTTGTGGGACAGCTCTGCCTGAGCGCTGCCTGCCTGTGGGACCGCTCTACCTGAGCGCTGCCTGCCTGTGGCACAGCTCTGCCTGAGCGCTGCCTGCCTGTGGGACAGCTCTGCCTGAGCACCTGCCTGCCTGTGGGACAGCTCTGCCTGAGCGCTGCCTGCCTGTGGCACAGCTCTGCCTGAGCACTGCCTGCCTGCGCAGCTCTGCCTGAGCACCTGCCTGCCTGCGGGACAGCTCTGCCTGAGCACCTGCCTGCCTGCGGGACAGCTCTGCCTGAGCACCTGCCTGCCTGCGGGACAGCTCTGCCTGAGCACCTGCCTGCCTGCGGGACAGCTCTGCCTGAGCACCTGCCTGCCTGCGGGACAGCTCTGCCTGAGCACCTGCCTGCCTGCGGGACAGCTCTGCCTGAGCACCTGCCTGCCTGCGGGACAGCTCTGCCTGAGCACCTGCCTGCCTGCGGCACAGCTCTGCCTGAGCACCTGCCTGCCTGCGGGACAGCTCTGCCTGAGCACCTGCCTGCCTGCGGGACAGCTCTGCCTGAGCACCTGCCTGCCTGCGGGACAGCTCTGCCTGAGCACCTGCCTGCCTGCGGGACAGCTCTGCCTGAGCACCTGCCTGCCTGCGGGACAGCTCTGCCTGAGCACCTGCCTGCCTGCGGGACAGCTCTGCCTGAGCACCTGCCTGCCTGTGGCACAGCTCTGCCTGAGCACCTGCCTGCCTGTGGCACAGCTCTGCCTGAGCGCTGCCTGCCTGTGGCACTGCTCTGCCTGAGCCATGCCTCCTGCCTGCAATATTGTTCTGCCTCCTGCCTGCAATATTGTTCTGCCTCCTGCCTTCTGATATGGCTCTGCCTGAACACTGCCTGACTGCAGTATGGTTCTGCCTGAATGCCTCCTGTCTGTGATATGGTTGTCCATGACCACCGTCTGCCATCTGAGATGGCTCTGCCCGAATGTCTCCTGCCTCTGATATGGCTCTGCCCAAACGCCTCCTGCCTGTGATATGACTCTGCCTGAAGGGATATGGCTCTGCCTGAATGCCTCCTGCCTGTGAAAAGGCTCTGCCTAACGCCTCCTGCCTGTGATATGACTCTGCCTGAAGTGATATAGCTCTGCCTGAACGCCGCCTGCCTGTGATGTGGCTCTGCCTGAACGCCACCTGCCTGTGATGTGGCTCTGCCTGAACGCCACCTGCCTGCGATGTGTCTCTGCCTGAATGGCTCCTGCCTGTGATATGGCTCTGCCTGAATGCCTCCTGCCTGTGATATGGCTCTGCCTGAATGCCTCCTGCCTGTGATATGGCTCTGCCTGACCTTCTCTGTTCTGTGAAACCAGCAGGGCAAATGTAAAGGCCAAAAACTGTGAATACCATATTCACATACATCCTTCCATGGGTACTTAGTGAAGGCCATAATCTTTAGCATTTTGGGGGCCCAGTGATCACTGTATAATGGCTATAAAGTTCACATATATAGCAATTGTATAGATGATCAGATGCGGCATGACAGTAATAGCACTGAATGGTAATTGTTACACCTGCATCTCTCCAGAATCCCTGATCATTGGAAACACTTTGTACCTCATGCCTCACAGCTGTTAGTATAAAAGGAAAGCCTCCCCCCAGTTATTAAATTAGAACCTTTAATTTGATTTGACGTCTCATCTTCCCGGTCCCTCACCTGCTGCCAGGGAACACAT